GATAATCCTGAAAATTATAATTCCAACCAGCATATATACAAAGTAAGGGATTTAATTGTTTGAAACATAATCCCACTTACTTGAACCGATAAGACGAGAAGGATCGAAGACAAAGCTTCAAGCACAGGGACAGAAAGATGATGAGGGCAGGTGGTTAGTACGAGTCGCACAGGGACAGAAAGATGATGAGGGCAGGTGGTTAGTACGAGTCGAGCGAAACACTCTTTTCTTAAAACCTTATTTGCCGCCTCCCAAAGGTGCTAGGAGCGTTGCGGCCTACGCTTCCTATGATAAAACGTACTACGGTTCAATGTTTGAGCACTCAAACAAATAAGCCCAGTGAACTAGAGCAATGGTTCGAGATAGAAAATTCTGATTTTCGTTGTGTGTAAAAACATCTGCTCAACCAAGAACTTATATAGGAGTTGAGGAATTAATAGCATTTAACCATGGGTCTACTTTAAAGCCTTTTCCCCTTCATTTTCAAACTCAAATGGGTCTATAGCTTTGAGAATCAATTTCTCATTCATGATTCACCCATTATTCGTTTTGAGCGTATAATATATCAATCTCTTCATCTTACTACGAAGAACTCGAATCCACTTTGACCCGACCCAAATCGAATGTGGACCCCACTAATTATTGTACCACAAAATAGCTACTTAAAATGTCATTTTATGCTATTTTTTCCCAACAATCCCCCACGAGTGAAAATTGATTTTCAGTGTATTTTGTTCACTGGTCGATCCCTGCATAGGATAGGTAGGTGTTACCCTTTGAATCTTACCTTGTGAAGACATATTTATTCTATTGACTGTAGAACGCGATGTCTTTGAACTGACTGTTGTTTGTGTAGATGATGACATATCTCACACAGAAACCTCCCAACCATGCTTTGTTCTCATGACTGTGCCCACTTTGGTTGTGGGTCACTAGAACTTTTATCCCAAAGGGATTTAGTCACATTCCTCGTTTCAATTTCTCTAATAACTATTTGCATGTGGCCCTCGTTTCAATTTCTCTAACAACTATTTGTTTACCCTCAGGTTAAGGGCCACTACGTGATCACATAGAACTTTTATCCCAAAGGGCTTTAGTCACATGCTTACCCTCAGGTAGGGGCATCCCAAAGGGATTTATTCCAACTATGTTCTTACCCTCGGGTTAGGGGCCGCTATGTGATCACATAGAACTTTTATCTCAAAGGGCTTTAGTCACATGATTACCCTCAGGTTAGGGGCCCCCCAAAGGGATTTAGTCACATTCCTCGTTTCAATTTCTCTAACAACTATTTGCTTACCCTCAGGTTAGAGGCATGCGGCCATCGTTTCAATTTCTCTTAGAACTTTTATCCCAAAGGGCTTTAGTCACATTCCTGATTAACACGTAGCCACTCATGGACTTCTCATACAACTACTGAGTTTATTAAACGCAAAGACAATTTTTGGCCTAGTACAACCCATTGGATACAATTCAATAAGCCTTAGAAAGGCTCTTGTATAAATAGTGGTGCAAACCCACTTTCTAACCCAAATGGGTCTACTTTGAGAATCAATTTCTCATTCACCCATTATCTGTTTTGAGCGTACAATTTATCAATCTCTTCGTCTTACTAAGAAGAACCCGAATCCACTTTGACCAGACCCAAATCGAAAGTAGGCCCCGCTAATAATTGTACCACAAAATAGCTACTTAAAATGCCATTTTATGCTATTTTTTCCAACATAATCATCCAACTAAATGCCCCTGCTCACTTTCCAATCAAACTCACTTCCACAAACTTCCTTGTTTAGAGACGCCAAGTCCAATCCACTCTTATTGGTTATAATCTACTTGGCTACATTGATGGCTCCGTTGAAGAACCAACCAAGTTCACAGATACTGCTCACACCAACAAGAACCCGTGCCATTTAATTTGGTATCACCAAGACCAAATTATTATAAGTGATCTACTTGGGAGTTGTACTGATACAATACAACCCCTTATTTCTTCGGCTGCAACGTGCCACGACGCATGGCAACAACTTTTCACTAGTTACGCTAGTGCCCCTCGAGGTCGAATTATTTCCCTCAAGTCAAAGCTAACAAAAAATCCGAGAGGTGCTCGATCTGTTACTGAATACCTTAATGATATGAGGTCTATTGCTGACGATCTTACATTGGCTCAAAGTCCAATTTCTAATGAAGACCTAGTTGTTGATATCTTGACTCAGCTAGATGAGGAATACAGTTTCACCATCTTTTATGTTCACATCCGTAAAACACCCATTTCTTTGGGGGAATTAAGTGATGTTTTGACTGACCATGAACGACAATTAGAAGAAGCTAATGATGCACACTAATCTAACTTCCCACTGCTAATGTTGCGCAATAGACCTTCTCTTCCTCACGAAACAATCAATTATCCAACTCTACGCGAAGGTTTCGTAATAACAACGGCTCCAACCGACAAAGTTGGCCACAAGGGGGGAATAACCGGTCTGGGTTTAAATGCAAGTTTTGTAACTTTCTAGACCATGAAACGAAGGTATGTCGTAAGTTAGCAAAATTTTTAAAAGAGCATAATATTCTGCCCATGCAGGCATCTATGTCTCTTCAATCTCCTACAGCCAATTCCACGGTTGGTCCGTCTCAGTCATGGGTATTTGATAGCGATGCTTCCTACCATGCTACTCCGAGTATCACTGCTTTGCAAACCTTCTCTGAATAGAGTGACCCGGCTGAGATTCGCTTGGGCGACGGTAATTCCTTAAAAATATCTCACGTTGGTCGGTCTACCATTCCCACCTCCTCTTCTGCTCTTACTCTTGAGATTGTTCTACGTGTTCCTAAGTTACGTGATAACTTAGTTTCCCTATCCAACTTTGCAAAACTAATCCAATATCTGTTGATTTTTTTCTTCCCATTTTATTGTGAAGGATCTGAGAATGGTTACATCGCTAATGCGGGGGGGTGGTGGTGGTAGAAATTTAATGGTGTTTACTATGGTCCACTTTTCTTTCAGCCAAAAATAAATGTTCTACATCTATCGCGTGTGTCTCAATCGCATCATAAATTTGGTCATCCTTTAAATAAAACATTACATCTTGTTTTAAAGCATTGTAATGTTCCTGTTACCAATTCATTATTAAAAAAAATTTCATTGTCCATCTTGCAGCATGCACAAAAGTCACAAATTATCATTTTAAAAAAAAAAGAAGCTCTTTTTAGTACTAAGCAACTACAATTGCTTTACATTAATGTATGGGAACCTCTGACAAATCTATTGATGGGTGTCTTTACTATGTTATTTTCGTTGATCACTTTTCAAAGTATATTTGGTTATATCCATTAAACGAAAATCATATGTGTTTATAATTTTTCCTCAGTTTAAACGATTGGTTGAGAAATACCTTGGTCACACAATCATTTCTATCTACTCAGATAATGGCGGTGAGTTCATTAAAATCATTTTGTTGTTCAATGCTCATGGTATTTCTCAATTTACTACCCCTCCTCACACCCGAACCCAATAGTACTACCGAGCGATGACGCAGACATACCGTCAAAATCAGGCTGTCATTAATCCATTCTACGTCCCTGCCAACTTCATACTGGACTTATTCTTTTCAAATGGTTGTTTACCAAATTAATCGTCTTCCAACACCGGTATTAGGTAATAAATCCTCGTCTCAGACTACGTTTAACCAATTGCCTCAGTATGACAAACTGAAAACTTTTGGTTGTCTTTGTTTCCTATGGTTACGTCCATATAACAACAAAAAACTCCAGCCAAAATCACGACCTTGTATTTTTCTGGGCTATGCTGGCTCCCAATCTGCTTACAGGTGTTTTGATTTTTCCTACAATCGTATTTGTGTGTCTAGACATGTTCAGTTCATACCTAATATTTTTCCTTCTCAAAAGTTACAACTTACGTTTCAATCTTAGGATGTTGAGGAGACATCAATTGTGCTGAAGTCTCTACCTCCGGAGTCTTTATCCATGTCCGCTATGTCCACCTCGAATCGTATACATTCTCCTACAACTCACACGCTAGCTGTCTCCACTTCGTCTACTTCTTCCGCGTCTACTTTTTCCCACATTGGTTCACCCAATTTCAGTCACACACCTCATGCTTCTTCTCGTGCAGCTTCTCCCAATTCCACTCCAACACCTCTTGCTTCTTCCCGTGCTGCTTCTCCTAATTCCAGTCGCACATCATCTGCTTCATCTATGGTTGATTCTCGTAATTCCAGTCAACCACCCTCTGTTTCGACCATGACAAATTCTCCCAACTCCAGTCACGTCGCCCCAGGTTTACGTCCAAATTCTAGTCGAACATTATCTGCACCCTCCAATCCACCATTCCGAGTAGATGATCTCCCTTCGCTGCCATCCTCTCTATCTGCCGTTTCAACGCCACAAAATGGCCTGCGTCGTTCCACTCGTTGTCGACGTCCTAACCTTAAGTTTTATGGAGACCACTATGTTAACCTAACTACAACTTGTCCCTTACCACCCACTATAAAACCGTCTATCGTCACTTAAACAATTAAAGAGTCTTGGTGGAAAAAGGCTATGGATTAGGATTTCGAAGCGCTGCATCGCAACAAAACGTGGCATTTAGTGCTTCACGGCACCGGGGTGCAGATAGGATGTAAGTGGGTTTTTCGGGTCAAGCGCAAGTCAGATGGTACGGTTGGTCGTTATAAAGCACGTCTTGTCATGAAAGGTTTTTCAAACTATTAGTCGTGACTATTATGAAACTTACAATACAGTCATGAAACCAGTTACTATTCGTGTGGTCTTGAGTATTGCATTGAACAATGCTGGAGTCTACGTTAGTTAGATATAAACAGTGCGTTTGTGCATGGAACGTTGGATGAAAAGGTGTATATGGAACAACACCCGGGCTTTATTGATCCTTTGTTCCCGACACACATTTGTTAATTAGACAAAGCGTTGTATGACTTAAGCAAGCGCCCGGAGCATGGTACTTGGAGCTGTCACGGTTTTATTACGTTGTGGATTTTCTAAATCATATGCAGATGCCTCCTTATTTGTTTATTTCGTTGATGGTGTTGTTTTTTATTTTCTGGTGTATGTCGATGATATCTTATTGATAGGAAATAATGATGCCTAGCTTACCTGATTCGTAAAGACTTTGTCTGCGCAATTCTCACTTAAAGACCTCGATAACTTGTATCATATTTTGGGTGTTGAGGTAGCTCCAACACCATATGAGATCTTCTTGTCGCAGAGTAAGTATGTTACTGGCATTTTGGTGCACTTTAAGATGGATGGTGATAAAGAAGTCTCCACGTTGCTAGTTTCTTCGGATAAATTGGTGCCGGCCAGCCCGATCTGATAGTGACCAATATGATATCACACAATTCCGTCGCCTTCTAGATTTGCTGTATTTGGTAATCACACGTCCCAACGTCGCCTTTGCAGTCAACCGTCTTTAGCAATTCATGCATGCACCAACGATGACACATTGGCAGTCTGCTAAACGGCTTCTTCGCTATCTCAAAGGTACGGTCTGTCATGATTTATTTCTTCGAGTTGTCTAGTCGATTCTTTGTGTATCTACACTGATTTTGATTGGAGGGAGGGGGGGGGGGGGGGTGTTGTACTGCCAATGGTCAGTCTACTAATGCTTACTTTTTGTATTTGGGTTCAAATCTTATTTCTTAGAAATCCACTTGTTAGCGGTCTGTCTCTTGTTCATCCATGGAGGCTGAGTATCTTGCCTTGGCGAATGTCGCAATAGAGGTTCTTTGGGTTAAACATTTGTTACAAGAACTATGTTTGGGTCTGTGACAGTCTCGGTGCTACGTATGTCTATAAGAATCCAGTGTTCCACTCTTGCATGAAACACTTGGCCTTGGATTACTTCTTTGTCCGAGATTTGGTGTCCAATGGTTCTTTGGTTGTGCATTACATTCCCTCTTCGGGGCAGCTTGTTGACTTACCTACCAAGCCACTTGGGCACCATCTGTTCTAGCTCTTTCATTCTAAGAACAGAGTTTCTAACGGGTCCTCCTTCTTGCGGGGCGTGTCAAGACTTCATGCATTGGTTGACAATGTCTAATATATCTTTCCTATTTGTATTCATGTAGTTTAGGATTGTTGCAACTTCCTGCTACATCTCCTCATATGTACTCTATTTATACTCTGTTCATTTTATTTATCAATATATGAGTTTTATATAATCACTACACACTGCACATGACTACCTGGCCTCCATCTCTAGAGAAGCGGTATGAGGCGAAAACTCCATGTACAGTTTTGAAGCCGTGTCTTTCCAGCAAAAAGGCTTAGAGACCGATATGATGATTGGTTTAAGGGCCGGTCTATTACGGCAAATTATTGTGTGGATATTATTCATGTATTGAATATACATTATATAAAATAATGTATTTTTAGTACTCAAATAATGTACTTTCCCTGAATATAATGTACATTTTTAATATATTTAAATTATATTATTTATATATTGAATATAAAATATTTAATAGTATAATTTACACAATTATGTAAACTATAATCCACACAATAATAATTGTTCTACTTCGGACGCATCTCAGAAATTAAATACATAGAACTGAAGCAACCAACGTACCACAACTTGGTGCATGTCAGTATCTATAGCTACTTAGCTAGTACACAAATTTTCTTTCGGTGGACTTAAAACATTATTATAAGAAATAGACATATCAACAGCCAATCAAAAAGGGAATATAATTTCTTACTCTATAAGTCATCATGAAGGTGAAGTTTTTACGCGCTTTAATTTCCCACAGTGCATATTTTTTTTTTTTTGAAAGTAGCCTGCGCGACATTTTATTGGAAATACGTTGAAATAGAGTCTGGCGGACCAGAGTCCGAATACATAGGTGCTGAATAATTAACGGCCAAAATGGCTAAAACATGTGCTAAATAATTATCCGATCTAGGAACAAAACTGACTGAAACATAATTAAAGGAAACCATTCGGTTTCTGCAAGTATCAATGGCATAGCCGAGGTACGAACGAGGTGACTCCTTGGTAAGTGATAAATATTGTTGTAATGTCAGACAATCCGTCAGGATGCCTACCGATCTCTCTCCACGATCCCATAACCAAGACAGCACTTCCTTACACGCAATGATAATTTTGACGCTTATAATTAACTTTTTATTTTAATAGTAAAATAGAAAAGTTTTTAATTTGTTACTTTTTCAAGTTCTACTAAATCATACCAAGTACCTTGTGCTCAAATTGAAAATTATATATATATGCATAAATTGAAAACATAATTACTTATTTTTCCAAGTTCTGCTCATACTAAGATTTGCTCATACAAAGATTACCTAATCCGAATATTCTAGGAGAGTTACGTTTGACTCTTACTTGTAAGAAAATTTGATCCAAATCTTTTTAACATGTCACATTTATATAAGAATTGATTTTCCGATCTTACAATTATATTACAAAAGAATCTCCTTACTAATTGTTCCAAACTGCTTAGCTCCCTTCCAACGATTCAATTCTTTATCTATCAATTGAAAAATAATATGCATACATACAATTGTTTTCCTACGTAATTCTTTGACAAGCAAAAATACATTATTTGGTTAAGTGAATTTTAATTCCACGGAATTGTAATTTTCTCCTTTTGTGTAATTAAAATTCATATGCCCTCCCCATGAATTCCAATTTCGCAGCACACGGAAAGGAAAAAAATAAGAAAATGATAAAATTACCTATTATTATTATTATTATTATTATTATTATTATTATTATTATTATTATTATTATTATTATTATTATTATTATTATTATTATTATTATTATTACATTTCCCTTTCAATTCTATATCACTTATTACCTTTCAATTCCCATTAATTCTATTCCTACCTATTAATAATGTAATTTGAATTTTTACTTTATTTTCACCTTATTTTTTTATCATAAAATTACAATAAATTTCCTCATAATTCTTTCATTCCCACCAAACGCACCGTAAATGATTGACACATTTTTATTTGTAGTTACAATGAGAAAGAGTTGGAGATGCATGTGAGGTTGCAAAATAGCAAAGAGTGAGCTGAGGAGAATGATTTTTATGTTTTGTATATTAATGTCAATGTGTATGAAAAACAGTATATAAGTGTTTTTGTATTTTTCAAGCAACAAAAAAAAAAAAAAAAAAGTGTTTTTGTATTTTTGAATATTCAATTCAAAACCAACAACAGGAATTGATAGAAATTCCACGTGCCGGGATAGGAGCTACATGCCTGCACTGTCTGTCTAGGAAGCTACACCGTGACCTACTGACCTATTACCACTCCTATTTTAGGTAGGTTTGTTTTAAAATTTTAAAAAGTATTTTTTAAATAACTTCTTTTTTAAAGAAATTATTTTATTTGTAATATTTGGCTGAAAATATATATATATATATATATATATTTTTATTTGGTTAAAAGTTAGAAATTTATTACTCCGTATTATTTTATTTGCTTAAGTTTTATTGAAAAATAATTAAAAATCTATTATAGATTTATTTATTATAAAAATAGTAACTATTCATAAAATTATTTATAAAAAATCAAGTAACTCAAAATTTTTAAATGATGAAATGCATGCTACAAAAGTCTATAAAAAAAGAAAACTAAACATTAGGGAGAGATAGAGATAGATGGAGCGATAAATCGAAAAAGGTTTTTTTTTTTTTTTTTTCTTTTTTCTTTTTTGTCAAAATAGGCCTTTTTATTTAATGAATATTTTCGTTGAATTTACTTTTTCTTTTTTTGGATAGTCAAATTAAATATTGTAAAATCTTAAAATGGGAACTTATATTAGGATCAAGTGCTTACAATTACACAAAAACATTATACTAGCTAGTAACGAAGATATTATACTTGCGTAGTAGTCGATCATCTAGCGATATGTTTCAATGGCTGAACTTATTATCTGCTATAATACTAATTGACAAATTAAGTGTTTGGCACTATACCGAATGTTATAACTTGAAAGACACAACTTTATTTCCTTATAATTGTGTAGCAGTCATTATTATATTTCGATGGTAGAATGTTGGACTCGACCCTCCAAGCTTCCACCCAACACCTTAGATTATAATTAATTTTCTATTATTTTGTGTGTATTTGATTATTAACTGATTAACTCATAATAAAACCAATCATTCATAAGCAACTAATCCTATCCTATATATAATAAAGCTATATGGTCTTGTGAAAATTGAATGTTGCATTTAATTTTCACCATGGTTGCAGTAGGCGCTAGGCGCTAGTCGGGCGGCCGGGCAGCGCCTAGGCGGATTCTAGGCGGCGCTAGGCGGGCACCAAAAAAATTAAAAAAAAAATAGTAACAGACTTGTAGTTCGACAATTTTAATGAGGTTGTTTTCAACGTTCACTCAAATAACACATCTAAATAAATGAAATAATGATAATTTATAAGTCATAATGTCATAATAATATTAAAATCAATAATTAATGAAAGACGACATCGGTCAAAATCGAACAAAATCGGTCAAAAACGGTCAAAATCGGACGAAATCGGTCGACTCGACCGAGTTGGCCGAGTTGATCGACTCGGCCGAGTTGGCCGAGTTTGGCCGCCCAGGCCGCCTAGGCGGCCGGCCGAGTTTTAGCCGAGTTTTGGCCAAAACTCCAAGGCTCGGGGCCGCCTAGCGCCTAGGCGGGCGCCTAGGTGGCTAGGCGGCCGAGTTTTGCAACCTTGATTTTCACAAGGCCATATGACTTTAAGATGTTAAAGTCTTGTGAAAATTAAATGGGCTTTAAGATGTGAAAATTACTTTAAGATGTGAAAATTAAATGCAACATTTAATTTTCACATCTTAAAGCCATATGGCTTTAAGAAGCATGCATGCAACCCCAAAGTCCATAAGTTTGAAATTAATATATAGCATAACTATGTGGCTTAATATTTAAGATTGTTGATGTGCATATTGAGGACTACGGAGACAAAGATGCGTTATTCGTGGATTCATCGG